ACCCCCGGCCCCCCCCCCCCCCCCCAACCCAAAAAAAAAAAAGACCCACACTCCAAAAAAAGGTAATAGTAGTAATAATAAAGTCACGGTAGTTTGTTGAAATTTACCCTTAAAAGTGTCTTTGTTACCATTAGTCTGGCATGTATATTTGCTTATGTCTATATATTCTCTACGTTGTGGCTGTAGAAAGTGATCCATGACTACTTGACCTACCATTTGATGGTAAGTTTCCTAGGAATAATATCTCATTTTTTGGTCAGCCTAATATAAACTAGTCAAACTAATAAGCAGGACCACCAGAAAGAGATCTTTGAAGTTCTCTGGAGTCTGGACTGAGCTTTTTGAATCCTTTGGACTCGTGACCAAATTGAAGAGGAATGTCTCATGCCTTGTATATTATACAATTTAAAGTTTGTGAGTGTTGGTTTGAATGAGGCTAATTAGTCCATTGGAGAGCTGACTGAAACTTGGTAATATATGTTTATTGTTTGTATTTTCTATAATGTAGACCTGTATAGTATTTGTGAAAATAGCCTCGTTGACAATTAAGATCTGCTCTATAAATTCAGAAAGGTCTTGCAAATAGCAGCCAGACGGCACAGGAAATTTCCTGTACACTATGCCTTGGTCATCAAGAGATGTTGCTTAAACCTTTATTAAATGTGTTCCTTCAGTTTTTCTTTTTTTCTTGCAATAAACATATCAATATCAGTATATGTTAGATTTGTCGACATCAGTTGGTTATATTCAAGGTTTAGGCCTCATTACCAAGTACCAACCATATGGAAATACTTTTTATGGTCTTCCTTCTGGGCAAGGTGCTCATTTTCTTGGTTGCATGAGTTTAACCTTCATTGTCATCAAATTGAGTAACCCTTTTTGACAACTGCAGTTTGAATCCAATGAAGTTCCTGTTACCTTTGTCGGAAGTAAGAACTATTTGCGAGGTTTGATGCATAGTTGAACAAGATAAATAGTAATAGTTTGTTAGCTAAAATCTCAAAACTTCAAAACAGTGTGTAACCAATAACTTGCGATGTAGCAATACCAAAAATATATGACCAAAGTCAATTTTGACTGGTAAGTAACTCATTATTTAATATTGTAAAGAATATTAATAGCTACATATGCCTGCCGGACTTCCATTGTAACCTAACGTTTCTGTTCTGTTATCAACCCATAGAGATGATGCCTATGTTTTCTTTCCATCCCCTTGATTAAATGATCCTTGTTGGATGAAGTGTTTCATGCTCTTTAGAATCTTAGGAAATACATCGTGTGTTGGATCAAGAAAATCCAGTGATTAAAATACCATGCCAAGTGTTGAGGGAGAGTCAAAAGCAGCCATCAGATTGATCCATTAAATTAAAAAAAACCAATATAGTACAAATAGATTCTATGAGCACACTTACTCACTTAATCTATGCGAAAAAGAGGCTTGAGCTTACAAAAAGGTAGTTGCTACTTTTCTAAAGGAAACATCTACCAGAACACCACAAACTTTCCATTGCCAATGAACATTTCTTAATCCCAAAGCACCATCACATCACTGGATATCACTTGCCCCATAAAGTGTGATGGTCATATATCTCTGCTAAAATAAAGCTTGTTAAGGTCATTGGATCATCAATGATTGCCTAATTAAAACGCGAAAGATAGCTGTAAATTTTATTCTAGTTTGGCTTGGAATATGTGTAAGGCAGCGGTACTTCTGTTAGCTGTAACATATACTGAATAACTTCGTTTCTCTGTACCATTGAGTTGTTATTCTGAATTGGACCAGAATGAATATCAAGACTAGAAGCACAAGTTTTTGCTAGCAATTATCTTTCAATTCAGCTATGTTAACATTCTCCTTATCCTGTTTTCCCCCCTTTTCCAAACAACCAGAACCATAGGGCACGATAAAAGCGTCGCAATGGAGGTGAAGACTGAATACTAACAATCATTTGCTTTGATGAATGGATAAAATTCCACGTCTCATGATGCAATGTAAGTTGTTACTTTTTGAACTACGCAAAATTTTCATAAGTATTCGTTTCTTATGACTAGATTCAAAATTTAAAATACGTGGTACCTCATTTGTAATCATAATGGAGGTAATCATAGGTTACTGGTATATACAAGCACATATATGCACACAATTGGCTTGTATTTATTTTATCTGATCGGTCACTGAACTCGCCTACAATGTTTCATCATGTTAACAAGAAGAAGCATTGATCATAGAGTCAACAATTGCATCCTCAAGTAATGGATAAGAGTTGAATGATGGAGCTTAAGGACATCTGTGTACTTGTGCATAAGTTTAATCATAGAGTTAACAATTGTATCTGGCAAGGACTGCACAGAATTGATGAAGGATTCTCATTCTTCAGACTGGAGCTTAAGGACGTCTATATTCTGTGCATAAATTTTGTACTTTTATTCAGTGAATACTAAGTCTATGTTGGTTTTTCGATGGTAGGACGGTACATTAGTCATTGAGCAGAAAGATGTCAAGAGCCTTTTGTATAGTTTAAAGCTTTTGGACGAAGTGGTTCTTGACCTGTTATACGAGTACTTTGAGGTTTCAAGAGGTCCTGAATCCAAATCTCCTCATTTTCGAACTTAAACGTATTTATTATCCCTGCATTCGGCCTTTCCCCTGACCCACAACGTCCCACTTGAGTGGTAGTATTAAGAATTAATGTTAGCTTGACACATATTGTTAATGATTTAAGCTTTTGGATAAAGCAGCTCTTGACAGAAGATGCTTGGTTTGTGGGTTCTGATGCAGTGTTTATAGATATTTTTAAAGTCAGGTGGGACTTCAGATCCCCTCACACAAAAAAAAAGAAAGAAAAAAGAACAATGAAAAATTAATGGAGCCTTCGCGCACACTCAAAAAACAAGGAAAAGAAATAAGCCATCATAGGTCTGCAGCTATGGGTGCTACGTAAAAAACATTGATAAGGTTATGCCTTTGGCTGGAGTCATTTTTAAGTTGTTCATATGAGTTTGTCTCCCTTTGCATAGTACTTGTTCTTTCCTACATTTAGTAGGAAGTCTAATTCTTAGTTGGCCAAATGAAGTGGTGGGGATCCTAGGGAGGCCTAATTTGGTAGATGATAT